AAGTGTAGAAGGAAAACTCCTCAAAATAATTAAGGGCATATTTACAAAACCAGTAGGCAGGATTATTCACAATAGAGATTGAAAACATGCTCAGTGAGAAGAGGAACCAGACGAGGAGGGCCTTCCCTGACCACTCCCATTCAACACTGTCTTGTAGGCCCTGTCAGAGCAGAAGACACGAGAGTGAAATCAGAGGCACCAAATGGGTGTGTCTCTCACACACACACACACACACACACACACACACACACACGCACGCACGCACGCACTTCACCACTATCATGTCCATTCTGCCTCATGGAGACCCCGTAGGACAGGGTAGAACTGCCCCTGTGGGTTTCTGAGACTGTAACTCTTTGTAGGAGTAAAAACCTTTTCTTTCACTCAAGAAGTGGCAAAGAAGAAGTAAAATGGTCTCTATACATAGACGATATGACTTTATACGTAGAAAATCCCCAAGAACATTATAAAAACAAAACAAAAGCCGACCTGAACGACGAAAGGACCCAGCCAAGCGGCAAAGTCTGAGACCGACAGCAACCCTCAGCCAGGTTCCTCTCCAGCGTGGGCGCCGCTGCTCCCTGGGGCACAGGAGGGATCCAGGGGCTGCCCTTTCTATCCAAGATGATAAACAAGTGTTTTGAACTCTGGCGCGTTTGGGTTGAGAGGAGGGTCTGAATAAATTTTTTTTTCTGAGAAGGAGGTGGCCGGCCAAACAAGTCTGGGAACCTGTGCAATGGGAACCAGCACCACTGTGCTTGCACACACACCTGAGCAGGAAAACGGACCTGTAGGGACCAGAGCGGCTGCCCAGGGAACGGCTGGGTCCCCGTTGCCACCGCACCTGTTTAAATGATGGAGGTGGGGGAGGAGCAAACACCCGGGATGCATACAAGTCCCACACAGACCTTTAGTTTCAGGAACGCTAAAGTAAAGCACCAAGACCACGGAAAAGGACTTGGAAGACACATGTGGGGCTGGAAGAGAAACAGGAAGTAGGAACATTCCCTAAATCCGGTGGTTTAACGTGAACAAAAGCAGACTTGCTCCTCTCCTCTAAGGACGAGAACGCTCTTTCGATTGGAAAGGGTGAAACTGAGATCGTTTACATGAGTTCGGCGCCTTTGAAAGCGCCCTTGGAGATAACGTCAGGAACTGAAAGGCCTTGAAAATGCGGGAGAGGGCATTCGACACACAAAGGCTCCTCTCCCGCAAAGGGAAAGCAAGCAGGCTCTGGCAAATATTGATCCCCGGACTGATGCAATCCCTGGAAAACTCGGGGGTGAATGATTAGACAGAGGGGGGTAAGCACGTACAGATTACTGAGTGGCCACAGGGGTTCACGGTAGGCTAACTTCCTATCCTTCAATGGCTGGTTCATTAGATGTAGAGACGCAGCATCGGCTCTCAGCGAGGCACCGGCCGGGTCTCTCGCGATGCTTTGCTGGGCCAGGCACAGGAAGCATGCACTTCCCGGTCGTGGAGTCAGAGAGATTCAAGTGTGTGTTGCTTGTTGGAAAACTGCAACCA